GAGTGCCACCAAGCCCCCGATCACATCCCCTGGCAGTCATTCCTCATTGACCTTGGGGTGGCCGAGCTGGACCGGTTCGACGAGCGGGAGGCCCTGATCTTCCGCGAGAACACCTTGGCCACCAAGGCCATCGACGAGTACATGAAGCTGGTGGGGGGCAAGTACCTCCAGGACACGCTGGGTACGCTGAGGGGGCAGGTCTGGGGGGGCATCCCGCAGCATTGAGGGGGTGCAGGACACCCTGGGAGAGACATGTGGGTGCTACGGGGTGTTACGGGGCATTGGGGCTGAAGGACACCCCCAGACCACCCCTGGGGATGTGGTGGGGGCTTCTTCTCCTGGTCACCCCCATGCCTGTGGCCCATCGATCCCATCACAGGTTGTGGGGACACCCCCAGACCCTCCACGGGGACGTGTCCCCACCCACCCCCATTCCAGTGGCTGTTCTGTCCCCTCATGGACAGTGGGACACCCCCAGACCCTCCATGGGGACGTGTCCCACCCACCCCCATTCCAGTGGCCGTTCTGTCCCCTCATGGACAATGGGACACCCCCAGACCATCCATGGGGACGTGTCCCACCCACCCCCATTCCAGTGGCTGTTCTGTCCCCTCATGGACAGTGGGACACCCCCAGACCCTCCACGGGGACGTGTCCCACCCACCCCCGTGCCTGTAGCCGATCTGTCCGTCCCCTGACGGGCTGTACCCTCGGTGCCCAGGGGAGGTGGTGGCCCGGCTGTGCAGCTCAGACGAGAGCTGCGAGGTGGATCCCAGCAAATGCTCCGGCCCCGACCTCTCCACTCACCAGAAGAACCTGCGGCAGGTCTGCGAGGAGACCTTCTGGCGCATCGCCCACAACTGCGAGTGAGGGGCAGTGCCCAGGCAGGGGGTGGGCAGGGGGGCAACACAGCCAGGAGAACCCGGGGAAAAGGCTTGGAGAGGGGTGATGGGGCTGGGGGTGGGAATGGGAGCGGGTAGGAGGGTGGGAATGGGCACCGGGGTGGGCACAGGGGGTGGGTTTGGGGACTGGCACCGTCCTGGGATGGACGTGGGGACAGGTTTGGGGACAGGGGTGGGGATGGGGAGCAGGAAGGACCTGAGGGCAACCCTGGGGGGACTGACACAGGGGACAGGGATGGGGTGGGCATCACCTGTGGGCTGGACATGGGGATGGGCACAGGAAGGACCTGGGGACAACTTTGGGGACAGACATAGGGGACAGACATGGGAATGGGCACCATCCACGGGTTGGACACAGGGATGGGCACAGGAAGGACCTGGGGACAATGCTGGGGACAGCCATGAGGGACAGGGGTGGGGATGGGTTTGGGAACTGGCACCATCGCTTGGTGGACATGGAGTTGGGCACAGGAAGGACCCGGGGACAAGCACCTGGGACCGACATGGGCACAAGCACAGGCATGGTGGGCACTGCGGTGGCACTGGGGGGGGACGGGGGAGGTTTCCAAGCCCACCCCCCCCCGTGCCCAGCCCCCATCAGGGCATGTCTCCCCCCAGCGCCTTCCCGGCGGAGCTGGGCGAGGTGTTCACGGCGTGGCAGGAGGAGTGCACGGCGCGGGGCAAGGCGGCCCTGGGGCAGCGCCTGGTGTCGGCCTCGCTCTTCCTGCGGTTCCTCTGCCCCGCCATCATGTCCCCGAGCCTCTTCGGCCTCGTCCAGGAGTACCCCGGCGAGGCCACCGCCCGCACCCTCACCCTCGTGGCCAAGGTCATCCAGAACTTGGCCAACTTCACCACGTAGGTGGTGGCGGTGGCGGGGAGGGGGGTGGCCGTGGGTGGGGGTGCGGGGCGGTGGGGATGTCCCCGACGTGCTCCGTGGCACCTGTCACCTCCTGGAGGTGGCTCGGTGCGTGAGGAGGGTGGTGTCCCATGCCTGGGGTGGTGGCTGTGACCGTGAAGGTGGTCCCTGACCATGGTGGTGGCCCATGTGACCACAGAGGTGGCCCCTGACCAAGGTGGCGTCCCTGGTCCCTGCTCCTGAAGGTGGCCTGTGGCCATGACCACGGTGGTGACCCCTGTGACAGTGTCAGTGGCCCCTGTGACCATGGTGGTGGCCCCTTTGACCATGGTGGTCACCCCTGACCATGGTGGCATCCCTGGTCCCTACTCCTGAAGGTGGCCTGTGGCTATGACCACGGCAGTGGCCCCTGTGACAGTGTCAGTGGCCCCTGTGACCATGGTGGTGGCCCCCGTGACCACGATGGTGGCCCAGGCCATACCCCCATCCCCTGGGTAACCCCGAGGCTCCCCCCCCCAGGTTTGGTGAGAAGGAGGCCTACATGGGCTTCATGAACGAGTTCCTGGAGCGCCACTGGAGCCCCATGGCAGAGTTCCTGCAGAGCGTGGCCAGCCCCGAGAGCAGCGCCCACATGGCCACCTACGATGGCTACGTGGACCTGGCCCTGGAGCTGGCCACGCTCCACCTGCTGCTCTGTGACATCTTCTCCAGCCTGGACCAGGTGCCACCACCCCGTTGTGCCCAAGGCCACAGCCTTGCCTTGCCTTGCCTGGCCTTGCCTTGCCTTGCCTTGCCTTCCCTTCCCTTGCTTTGCCTTCCCTTGCTTTGCCTTCCCTTGCCTTGCCTTGCCTTGCCTTGCCTTCCCTTGCCTTCCCTTGTCTTGCCTTGCCTGCC